TCTGTGGGACTCACCAGGTCCTGGAGGAAAGGTGGGTGGAAGCACACAGGCCTGCCATCTGCACACCAAAAGGTTTAAAAATTTTATAAAACGATGCAGACTGTAAAACACAATGAAAACAGAAGAGAAAATATATTGAAAGCAAATATAACAAATTGTAACAGCTGATAATTCCGAAAGTTGAAAATTTGGGGGTTATTTTATAATTTTTACATTTTAAGTTTTTTTTTTTTTTTTTTTTAAAAGATGACCGGTAAGGGGATCTTAACCCTTGACTTGGTGTTGTCAGCACCACGCTCACCAGTGAGCGAACCAGCCATCCCTGTATGGGATCCGAACCCAAGGCCTTGGTGTTATCAGCACCACACTCTCCCAAGTGAGCCACGGGTCGGCCCTTTACATTTTAATTTAAAAAAAAATTTTTTTTTTCCTTTTTGTCTTTTTTTTTCGTGTCCGGCAACGGGATCGCAACCCTCGGTGTTGCTCCCGCACCTCGCTCAGCCAGTGAGCGGGAACCGGTCTGTATGTGGGATCCGAACCCTCGGCGGGAGCGCCACCACGCTCCCAAGCGGCGCACTGTAGCAGTGCGCCACCGGGCCAGCCCTAAAAATTTTTTAAATTATTTTTTTTCTTTTAAAAGATGACCGGTAAGGGGATCTTAACTCTTGACTTGGTGGTGTCAGCACCACGCTCACCCAGTGAGCCAACCGACCGGATCCGAACCCATGGCCTTGGTGTTATCAGCACCACACTCTCCCGAGTGAGCCACAGGCCAGCCCCATAATTTTTACATTTTTATTTTTATTTCATTTTTTTTTTTTTTCTTTTTCGTGACTGGTAAGGGGATCGCAACCCTTGGTGTGGTGTCACCCACACCGCGCTCAGCCAGTGAGCATACCAGCCATTCCTATATAGGATCTGAACCCGCGGCGGGAGCGTCACTTCGCTCCCAGTGCCGCACTCTCCCGAGTGCACCACGGGCTCGGCCCTACATTTTTAAAATAAATAATTAGGAAAAAAAAGTTTGTGGGCAAGAATGTGTGAAGGACTTTGAGTGTCATGCCAGGAATGGGGTATGTACCTGTCTAAACAGGGGATGACCATGGCCCAGAAAGTTCTTCCTGAAAGCTTTGTGGAGGCTGGAATGCAGGTGGGGGTAATGGAAAGTGTACTTCAATAGTCCAGGCCAGGGTATTCCAAAGTGTGGACTGTAGACAATCTGCATCGGAATCTTCCTGGGGCTCTAATTAAAAATGCAAATCCTGGGCCTGTCCCCTCAGGTCTGCTAAATTCTAACCTTTCCAGCAGGGCCAAGAAATCTGTATTTTAAAACAAGTGCACACACCCATGATTCTGAGAATGTGGAGTGGGAGCAAGTTCAGGGGAAAATGGTGGGTTGAGTTTTGTTTCTGTAGAGATAGAGGTGTCTGTGGGACATCCAGTCGGTGAGTGGACATTAGAATATCAAGTTTGATGATGGGTGTTTATCAGATTCATTACTGATTGCAGTTATACATAGTAGGAACTCACTAAATGTTTATTGAGTGAATTATGAACTTAGCTTAAAAGCAACTCACTGAATCCCAAATTCTAACTCCTTACCATCCTCCAAACTCTACTGCAGTTGCCCAGGGTATGTGTGTTTTTTCTTGGTGGCTATCAGTCTGGAGAAGTGGGAAAAGCTTGGATTTCAGGGCTGCACAGGCACGCCTGGATCCAAATCTGGCTCTTCTTCTTTGCAGCTCTGTGGCCTCAGACTAGTGATTCTTATTTTGGAGCTTCGGTTTTCTCATGTGCAAATAATGCATCCTGTGATTCATTTATTCATTCAACAAATATTTATTGAGTCTCTATATGCACTGCGCATGGTTTTAGGTGATGGAGAAACAGTGATAGTCATGACAGACATGGCCCCCCTCCTGGAGCTCATATCCCAGAGGCAGGAAAGGGCAGTAAACAATAAAGATAATAAACAGGCAAATTATGCCATATGTAAGAAGGTGAAACATACTATGGAAAAAAGAAAAAAAAGAGCAGGGTAAAGGGCTGGGACTGGGTGGTAGTGGTTGCAATTGGGCAAAGGGAGTGTTACTATTAAATTGGGTTACCACGTAGTAGGCCTTGTTGAGAAGGGAGATTCATGGAAAGGCTTAAAGGAGGTAAGGGAGGTAGCACAGTGGATATCTGGAGAAGAGTGTTCCAGGCAGAAGGAATAGCAAGTGCTAAGTCTCCAAGGCAGAGGGGTGCTGTGCTTGGCAGTGTTTGAGAAACAGCAGAGAAGTGGTGTGATTAGAGCAGAGTGAGTGAAGGGGAGATTTGAAGAAGGCGTTTCAGGGCTGTGATAGGACGACAAAAGAAAGAAGGAAATGAACACAGTTGCTGAGTGCCAACTACAGGAACTGTGCTTGACATACACTGGCCTCTTAATCCTTGCAATAACCTTACAAGGAAGGTATATAACCCCACCCACCTTTTATATACAGGAACAAACTGGGGGACAGAAACAAAATATGACTTGCTCATGATGCACAGCTAATAAGTGGCCAAACGGATCCTTTCCCAGTGCCATGCATTATTTGCTACGTATCTGTTGATTCCCTGCACTCGAAGGATTCAGTGAGGGGGTTAGGGAGCAAACATGGCCTAAGCAGGAGGAGATGGCACCTAGGACATCCTGAGGCTGTCCTAGATCTGATGGGGAAAGGGTCTGTAGAGACATGGCCTCTCTGAGCCAAGAGCAGTATGGGCCTGCATTAGTTAAAAAATGAGGATTTGTTCAAACAAGGTTACAAATATTGCAGTATATTTTAATTGATTACATTTTTTTTTTTGTCCTTTTTGAGACCGGCCGCACCACGCTTAGCCAGTGAGTGCTGTGAGCGCACCGGTCATCCCTATATAGGATCCGAACCCATGGTGGGAGCGCTGCTGCGCTCCCAGCGCCACACTCTCCCGAGTGCGCCACGGGCTCGGCCCTAATTGATTACATTTAACAAGATAATGTCTTTTGGGTTTTTTTTAAGAAAAAGATGACCGGTAAGGGGATCTTAACCCTTGACTTGGTGTTGTCAGCACCATGCTCAACCAGTGAGCTAACCGGCCATCCCTATATAGGATCCGAACCCAGGGCCTTGGTGTTCTCGGCACCACGCTCTCCCGAGTGAGCCACAGGCCGGCCTTAACAAGATAATGTTTTTAACATGCACAATATACAGCAATTAATGTACTTAAAATTATTAAATTCATAGCACGCTACAGATGTGAGGGTCTTCTTTCTAACCTGTCAATTGTCTCTGTGACTGAATGTGTAACTTCACGTGGTCCCAACATCAAGCCTACATTTGAGGCCCCCTTATATATGTAAATAAAGATAATGATGCTAAATATATGTGGTGCTTGTCAGGTGCTGCTCTGAGTGCTTCACGACATTGGGTAATAGCTTCATAACAGTCCCACAAGGCTGGCACTCTTGTTGTCCCCCATTATGGAGGAAGAAACTGTGGAACAGTGACTGATTTACCCAAGATCTTATAATTTGGCTATCCACATTACGCAGCACTTGTACTTAATTATTGAACTGAACTGAACCTCTCTAAAATCACTTTGTGTCTTTGAGCTAATACATTGATTTTCTTGGCCTTAATTTACTCTTCTGTAAAAACAGGGACAGTGTTTCAGTAATTTCAATAATTCTCAACCCTAGTTATACATTAGAGCTTTTGAAAAAATATCCATGCATGGCCACTAACTAGGAGCAATTCAATCTAAATATCTGTTCCATTATAGAGCCATGATCTTTTGACCTTACCAATTCCAACCAACACCATAGGTTCAGATCTCACTTCCACTACTGTTGTGGACTGAATTGTGTTTACCACAAAGAATTTGAAGTTCCAACCCCTAGTGCCTGTGAACTCAGTCTTATTTGCATAGGGTCTTTGACGATGATCAGTTTAAAATGAAGTCATCAGGGTAGACCCCTGATCCAATCTGACTGGGTGTCCTTACAAAAAGGCAAAATTTGGACCCAGAGACAGGGAGAACTCTATGTGAAGACTGGAGTTATGCTCAAGGAATACCAAACATTGCCAGAAGGTAGGAGAGAGGCATGGAAGATTCTCCCTCATGGACCTCAGCAGAAACCAACCTTGCCAACATCTTGGTTTCGGACTTCTGGCCTCCAGAACTGTGAGACAATGAATTTCTGTTGACTCAGCCACCCAGTTTGTGGTACTTTGTTATGGCAGCCCTAGCAAACGAATACAACTACTTATATACTAGCTAAGGAACTCTCTTCACCTGTTTCCTCACCTGTAAAATTGGAAGCATAGTAATGTGCCAGGGTGCATTCTAAACACTTTACGGGCGTTATCTCATTTAGTCATTCCATTATCCCTCTGATATGGGCACTGCTACTATCTCTGCTTTACAGATGAGAAAGCTGTGAAAAAGAGAGGTTAAGTAACTTGCTCAAGGTCACATAGTAACTAACATAAGAATATATGCTTCACAGGATTACTGGGAAGCCTTCATGAGACTGCGGGTGTGGATGTGAAAGCGCTTATAGTACAGTATTTTACCCGTGTTAGTTAGAATCTCTGTAGAGTCAGGACTTTTTTTTTTTTTTTTTTTTTTTTTTTTTTTTTTTTTTTTTTTTTTTTTTTTTTTTTTTTTTTGACTGCGGGTGTGGATGTGAAAGCGCTTATAGTACAGTATTTTACCCGTGTTAGTTAGAATCTCTGTAGAGTCAGGGCTTTTTTTTTTTTTTTTTTTCCATCTGACTCTTCTTCCTCTTCCTACACGGTACTTCCTTCTTTGGGCGATAGGGGCCGCTGCGCTGCGCGGGCGTTGACAGATCCCTCTAGCCCGCTCGCCGGCCGCTCGCTGGTGCCTATAAGTGGCAGCGCCGGGCTCAGATAGGCTTCAGTCCGCTACCGCGGGTTCCGGGGCGGGGGCCGGGCTTGGAGCTAGCACTGGAGCCGCAGCTGGACTTAGAGGCGCTGCAGCTGGGCCGGGGCGGAGCGCCGCGCCCTGCCGGGGCCGCAAGGAGGGGCGTGTTGCTGCTGGCCCACCGCGAGCCGCCCGCAGCCCGCGCCGAGGCGCCTTCCCGCCAGGCCGCCTGCCTCCGCCTTCCGCCTCCATTTCCCCGGAATCTCAGCCCGGCGCGCCAGGACCCCGGCCCTTCTCCGGGTGGGGAACCTCCCGGCCGTTTTCTGGCTTCACTACTTCCTCGCAGCGTGGGCTTCCAGCCCCCTCTCTCCTTTTCCCGGACTGGGTCTCACCCCCTTCTGCCCCCTTCCTTTAGTTCAGGCTCCCAAACCCTTACCTTAGCCCAGAGTCCCAGCTCCTCAGCCACTTTCCTCAGCCAAAGATCCCAGCCTTTTCTCTTCCTTTGCCTTGCGTGGGGTCCAGCCTATCCTGTCCCTTCCTCTGTCCCTAGGGCGCAGTCTTCTCCTCCCACCCCCTCTCCCAGGCCTGGAATTCCAGACCTTTTGGTTTCCTCCCGTGGTCCTTCCTGGGTCCTTGTCCCTCTTCGCCAGTTTGGAGTTCCAGATTGCAAACCCAGCCTCCCTACACCCCCAGAGGACTGCTTCCACGAAAATACTCTAAAACATGAACTTTTCCTAGGGACTACCCCAGTCTGTCTTCCCACTTGCTGACCCCCCTGCTACCTATGTCCCAGGTCTTACTCTCACTTCGCTAAGGGTTGAGACCTGCTGGTCTGGGGAAGCAACACGATGCTTCTGTGGTCTGGCATCTGTGGCCTCTCTCCGCCTCGGATCTTCCCTTCGTTGCTAGTGGTGGTAGCCTTGGTGGGGCTGCTACCTGTTCTAAGGAGCCATGGCCTCCAGCCCAGCCCTACTGCCAGCACCATCCGAGGGTCAGAGCCACCACGGGAACGCTCAATTGGGGATGTCACCACTGCCCCACTGGAGGTCACCCCGGAGAGCCGCCCTGTTAACCATTCCATCACTGAACATGGCACGAAGAATCGAAAGCCCTTTCCCGTCTTGGGCATCGACTACAAACATGTTCGCATACCCTTCGAGATCTCCCTCTGGATCCTGCTGGCCTGCCTCATGAAGATAGGTAAGTCCAATTTGCTCTGATGCCGCCGCTGCTGCTACCACTGCCACAAGACTGGTGAGCTTCTTGCCCCATCTCTTACCATTTGAGGCTGCCCAGGAGTAAAGATCTGAACTATTCCTGTAACATAGGCAGCCTTCATCTTGCCTTCTTGGTCCTTCTCAAACTCCAGCTCTGATGCTTCCCAAGATTGGAACCAGTGTCGTGCATGGCAGAGAGCAGTATTAGAGGATGGGATGCTTCTGATGATACTAGGTAACTTCAGCAAGGCTTCCAGGCCTGGCAGGTCTCCTCTGGCTGGACCAGACCCTGAGGGGAGTCAGGCACCCAGCTGTGTGTGAGACTGAGAGAAGTGTCTTCTAGCAAGTGGCACACATTCTGCTCTAGCAACAGCAACCAGTGCAATATGTTACATACTTCATGGGAGGGTGTTCCAGGATGGCCTGCTTGAGAAGTTTGCATATAGCAGGGACCTGGGTGCAGGAGACTTACAAGTATGATGAAACACCAGGGAGCCCCATATTCTCACTTTGCTTCTTCCCCAGAATGTTGTCAGCTTTGCCTGACCAGGCTGGTAGGAGCCCCTGAGTCAGTTTCCGGCCCAGGAATACCATCCTTTATACAGTCTATGGGACAGGGAGTGGAGCGATTGTAGAGGAGGTTGAGGCTTGGTCTGACCCCAGCTCACTCCCAGGTTGGCACCTGGTTATGCCTCAAGGTGCTGTCTGGACCAACCAGTCATGTTGGCCTGCTGCTCAATCAAGTAGAAGAGGTACATGGGGGAGAGGCTAGGGGTGTTCTGGTCTAAAGAGACTTTGAAATGTTCTTTTTTGGGAGAAGAAAACAAAAAAGTTGTTCCCTTACAGAGGGTTGGTCTCCCTGCCAGGTGTGATCGCCCTGTTCTGCTAGGTGATTGGTGGAGCTCACCAGAGCCTGCATAGCCCAGAAGTCCTTGGAAGTGTGTCCATGGGGGGGGTTTGAAACTGCCTTTGCTTCTTTGGCCTGCCCCTAGCTAGTGGAAGGCGTGAGGTCCTGGGATTCTGCTCTTCTCTTTGCCTAAGATTTGGGTTTGGGGAGTCTGAGACTCTTGGCAGGAAACCTTGCAGTCTTCCCAAGGACATGCTATACAGGAGCTGAGTGGTGATGCCAGGCTGGTGTGAGGCAGGCTCAGGGACAAACTGCAGGAGGGCACTGGTGCCTCTGTTTTGATAGATCCAGGAGATGGCTTCCCAATGCAGGGCTTTGGTGCTGAGCTGGTTGCAGTGACAGGGCCTGTACCCTGATGGCAGCCAGCTTCCTGCAAAAAATCAAGGACTGGGCAATGGGAACCATATGTACTGATTGTGACATAAATGCATGACCTTGAACAGCTGGGACCTTTTTCTGCAGGTCTCCCTCACCTGTGAAGTGGGCAAGAATCTCTAAATTTGACCATACCAATTGAGTCATGAAAACTTGTCCTAATTTGTTGTAAGAAACTGGCCGTGATGTGTCATTTGCCTGTGTGAGACCAAGAAGAGATCTCACAAGTGCTGTCTATAAATTGCCTCCTCTCTATAACCCCCTCACCTCCCAACCACACCTGGCATTGTATCAGGGCATTGGGGGCTGGCACACACACTGCAGGTCTCAGTGCCTGCTGTGGGACGATGGCATCACTGCAAAGGCCCTACTCTGGGCAGTCAGAAGTTTGTCCCTTCAGGCCTGATATCTTTAGTCTTGGGGTCAGGCTTGGCCTGGCCTGCTTTGTGACCACCAGAGTGCTGTGCCCAGGACCCTAGGCAGCTGGAGAGCTGAGACGGTGCCATGGCAAGGGTATCCGTCTAGAAGTCAGGAAACCTGGCTTCTCATCCCACCTCCCTCTGTGACCTTGGGCTAATCATACCTCCCTACACATCAGCTGGTCTTTGTGGCCCCTTCCAGGTCTGATATTTCTGCCATTCCACTGACTCAGGAATCTCTGGCAAGTCACTCAGCTTTGGGTCTCAGTTTTCCCATCCTAAAATAAGGAGGCTGGACGTGATCTCCTTTGCAGTTCCAAAAATCTGTTTCTCTGGAGTTGGCATGTTTTGGCTTCTGAAAACAGAGGAGGCCTAGCATCTGGCCATCATGGGGAAGAGTGTGGAGAAAGGTGGCCAAAAGATCTCAACGGTCCCTGTTCAGGTGGCCAAAGTGAAGGCCCATTTTTTCCCCTTCACCTTTGCAGTGTCGAAATCGCCCACCACTCTGCCACTTACCCTACCCTGTCTCAAGAAGCCTATCTGAGCCTCATGTCTAAAACGGGAAATAATAGTATCTAGCTATAGTGCTACCGATGTGATGATGACATAAGTTAATGCATATACAGCTGACTTTGTACATACAGGAAGCGTTCAATGAGTGGCAGCTGCCCCATTAATATTTTAACTACATAAGGCAAATGCGTCCCTGCCTCAGCATCCTACAGTCTTCTGAGGCTGGAGGATTACAAATCTTCCAAACCTAGGCTGCTACTGGATGTCCCTCCTTAAGGTGTCATGGTTTGGGGTGTGTCCTACTGATTTTACTCTTCCTTGAGCTGCCTCCAGTGCTGGTCATGTGGGGAGAGGAGACAGCACTAGCTGTTTGGGGGGATGGGGCGGAGGGCTGAGGCCATGCTCCCTCTGCACAATCAGTTCATGGTTTGGGGTGTGTCCTACTGATTTTACTCTTCCTTGAGCTGCCTCCAGTGCTGGTCATGTGGGGAGAGGAGATAGCACTAGCTGTTTGGGGGGATGGGGCGGAGGGCTGAGGCCATGCTCCCTCTGCACAATCAGATACCCAAGAGCCCGGGAGCTTATTTTGGGGTCTTGCCTATTCTCTCCACATTCCAGCGTGGGCAGGAGTTTCATTGGAGCCCTCATTCTGTCATCTGTGGCAGCTGCTTCCCTTGCCAGGCACCCATCCTTTAAGAATAGAAAGTGCTGTGTGCAGCTCTCGTTCCTATCCCGATCATGGAGCAGAGCCTCAGGTAGACACTTGCAAAGACTGCTGGGTGGGAGGGGCAGCATCAGAGCTGAAGCTCTAGAGCAGATGCCTCTGGGTTCCCTCTTAACTCTGACTCAGTGGGTGACATTAGGCAAGTCAGTTCCCTTCTCTGGGCCTTTTTCCTGTCTCTGACAGTCAGGGATCCTTGCCTTTTCCTTGGCAGGGAAGGACTAGTGGAGTGAGGGAGATTTGGACTATTAGGAGAACTGTGAGAGTGACCCAAAGGCTTGGGGTTAGGTTCATTCCCCACACCCACCCCACACTGTGGTTTGGACCCTGCATGAATTCTTTCTTTTTTTTTTTTAAAGATGACCGGTAAGGGGATCTTAACCCTTGACTTGGTGTTGTCAGCACCACGCTCTCTCAAGTGAGCTAACTGGCCATACCTGTATAGGGATCTGAATCTGTGGCCGTGGTGTTATCATCACCACACTCTCCCAAGTGAGCCATGGGCTGGCCCTGACCCTGCATGAATTCTGCTTTGTTCCCAGTTCACCTGACTCCCAGTCCAGTGCTTGTTCCAAGGGAGAACCTCACTGTAACCCAGCTCACCACTGGCATCCCCTGTGTTTGTTTACCCCTATTACTGACCCGGAATGCCTGGCAGAGGCCTGGGAGCCCATGAAGCAGGTATTCATCTTTGTCTTCTGACCAGGGACAAAAAGGTTTCTTTTGTCCCTTTACATCTAATAGCTTTTGTTAGTTTTGGTCTTTGCAAGGCGTATCCTGCCATTTCCTCCTCAGAACAAGTCTATGAGTAGGGGAGAAAGGGGGCTGTATTGCCCACTTCACATGCATGGATATCAGACCACAACTGGTTTCCTGTAAAAATGACACTAGAACTCACCTCTCCCACTTCTCAAAATGAGAGAAGAACCAACAGCTTAAAGGTCACCTTGAAACTGTCTCAAGAAGCCCAGATGGGACTCTCTAAAAAGAAAGTGACCTTTTTCTCTTTGGGGAAACTGCTGACTGACTGCAGGACAGTGGGAGGAAGGTCAGCCAGGGACTAGGAGGAAAGCTTCAGGTAGGACATATGGAGGGCCCAGGTCGGTCAGATTGCCTGGACTTCATTCCTCTGAGCGTCCACATGGCTCAGCTCACCTTTCTTCTCGTTCCCAGCCAGCCCCATTCCATCCAGATCTGGTATAAAAGAAAGACGTGGGCTCTGCCCTGACACTTCCTCTCAGCACTTGTGTGACCATGGACCTTGGAGTTCATGCACCGCATTTCTCTGAACCTGACTTGCCTTATCAGTAAGGTGAAGATACTGTCTCCACCTTCTAAGACCAAGGTAGAGATTGAGCAGGGGAGGGAGCCCAGCAGAGTGCCCAGCTTATTGTAGTGGCTTTCAGGGCCTGTTCAGATTCCTCCCCTTTTGGAAGGTCTTCCCAGCCCACTCCAGCCACCAGCAGTTGCTTTCCATTTCTCCCCCAAACCCTTTTCTCTTATTTATCCACAAATTTGGCATCAGTCCTAGCCTGCCCTGTGACATCTCCTCTGTTGGGTGTGTGTGTGTGTTTTAATAATAATTACCATTTATTGAGTATCTACAGAGTAGTGTCAGGCACTTTATAAAAGTAATCTCATTTAATCCCTACTAAAATCATATGAGATAAAGGCTATCTCTGTTTAGCAGATGAGGAAATGTCTCAGAGAGGTTATCTTCAGTGATGCTGAATTGCTATTTGTTTTCTGTTTGAGTCTTGGATAGCCTCCTAAAAGGGTACAGCTGCATCTTCTGCCTCTCACATTCTCCTCAGCAGAGGCACACGGCCCTGCACTCGGGAATTGTAGGACTCCCTCTAGGGCTTGGGCAGCTGTCGATGGTGGAAGCCCTCTCCCAAAAAAGCTGCACATGTCTGTGCCTGGCTTTGGGCCTGTCCTCTGTCCCTGTGAATCTGTATGGTGCTCCCAAATCCTGCAGTCAGGCTGTGCCTATACCTTATTCTCTAGTAGTGACCCTGCCTGCCATCTCTCTCCTTGTGCCCTCTCAG